ATCTGGATTCGTACTAGTCAGTAATTTTAAATACGTACTGTCGGGTTTGAGTGACACACGTTTTTTTTTACTTGTCCATTTGGTATAGGGAATGAGTTTAATGGGACGACTGGATCGGCTTTTAAATTTATCTTATCTAAATATTTTGTCAAGCAGTGCTACGTATTCAGTTTCGTGACTTTCTGAAACCAAACTCATTTACTAGAAGTGTACAACCAACTACACCAGTTTTCTGAGCCTACTTTTGCGTTCGTTATACTTAAAGTCTGTAATAACTGTGGTTAACCGACTAACAGTTGGCCGTAAACATCTTAGTAATGTGCATTATGGCTCAAATATTCGTTCGCCTCCTTATATTGTATAGGTATTGTATTTGCCATTATATCCAATGTCGAAAAACCTAATGAGTTTGAGACAGGTAGCTCCGTGCTCCATTAGTACTGTTCTATGATCAAAATAAAAACCTATTCACCACTGGTTCGGTTTATTACACTGACAGGACGATGGGGGCTCACCGACACGTATTTGAGGACACCGATGGGGTTAAAGTTTTGGGCTTAAGCCAAAAGGCATGAAGAATAAGTCAAGCTATAGGTTCTTACCCACAAGTTTTATATGAACGAGTTTTTTTACAGGCACTTCAACTTCCGCAATTTTTGTGCTTGTTATATAGCCTTAGCCCAGTTTATTAGAAGTTTCGCGTAGTTGTGATTCACTACCTGGAAGAATGTTAAGTCAAGTTAAATGCAGTTATTTGTATCAATCTGACCTCAGGCAAGTGAAATGCGTTATTTACCAAGTCATAGATAGACTATAAACAAACTTTTGTACAAAAGTGAGCTCTAAATATCCTTAACATGTAATATATAACCCCAAATGATGCTAATAAACAAGGATGCCTGTTAGTTGTTTGGTAGATGCACGTTGAAGCGAGTTTGCGTCGAATTATTTTTTAACATTATACAAGTCTCTAATATACAAACATAAACAATTCTGATTATTAAAACTATCATCATTTCATCCGAAGCTGTTATATTGTTATGTAACTTATTGTGATGATCAAAAGTACTTGAATTATTGTACGAACTACGAATCCCAGAAATAACGCAGTTAAGTCCAAATAGGACTAGATGAGCACAAATGAACGTATTGTACTTGGAATTCGAAACCAGACAGCCATCAAGTACAAAGGAATCATTAGTTCATAAAAACATCACAATCGTCACAGCTAAAATGAGAATTCAAATTTCGGAAGTCGATTATACCTCTTCTGCTTAGGTTCATCATGTGTCTGTCCGACTGTGTATTGAATGTAGACCCTGTATGACGTAGAATATACTCAGTAGTATTAGATTTAACAACTGAAGTTGGAATGAACTCACCTGGGTCCTGGAACTAAATGTGATCAACATGTCGACTGTGTACTAAAATTATTGATATCTATAATTTTAACCTTAGATTTTACGTCAATATCGTCCCTCTATGAAATAATGTTGAATCTTTATGTCCCAGTTTTCATTATCTCCCCACATCTCACGCTTTGAGTATCATACGTGAGTATTTGGGAACGCACACTTACATATCATTTGAGGCATTCCTTCATGTGAATTTGACTTGCATATAAAATATGGTACATATTATTTTTGCTTCTCACGTTAGAATACATAGGACCATTGTTCCAGTTATCAGATAAATATTGGTAGATATGTAAAATTAACACATGTGATTCGTCTGGCTTGATTAACCTGCAAAACAATCAAATGGAAGTTATGCGTCTGCCTCATACTCATTAGAATAAACTTGGACTCGGTTTGAATTTCCTATCTGTGGAAACTTCATATCTGGGCAAACCGGTTCTGCGATTGCTTCGAGAAAACTTGCTATTCCCTCTAATTCATCATAACAGTGACTAGGAAATCTACTCGACATACACTGTTAGTGCGAGTATCCAAAATCCGATACAATATCATCGGAAAGGTAACTAGTACTCGGCTCATTCGAAACATATCTGTCACATTCATTGTTGATATCATTAGAGACAAAACTATTGTGGGGACAAATAACACCTGATGAGACACCATAAGGACCGTGATACGATTTTAGCTAATTTAGAGCTTGTTTCTCACACTGAGACACGATTTCACTAGAAATAAATTAATCAATAAGGCAAACCACACCCGATAGAAGAATATCAGAGTTCTGATCAGGATTTGGTGAACTCCAAACATCTTTCACATATTTGTGAATGATTTTATTAGAAATACATGAGTCATTAAGACAACGCATATTTAGTAAAATAATATCATAAACCCGAACAACGTTATTCACTCGTAACATTCAACTTAATGTAACGGAAAAAGAACGATGAAAATCCCCATGCAGCTTCTTTGTTGAACAGTATTGTCTTTTTTTCGTTCCCTTTCCCTGTTGTGTATTTTAACCTTTGTTCACATCTCGTTTAACCACATTTTTTGTTCTTCAGTCTTACTCGTTTGAGCCTTTATTATGTGATTTTGATTAAAGACTTATCTTTTGTTACCTAATTTTCTGTTACATGTTGCCGGACCATTGACAGTAAGGTCGTGTTTGACTAAGCTCAAGGTCACGGCGTGGCTCAGTGTATGACTGTTAACCTTCTGACTGTCTGCTTGGGAGGATTGCTGGAATCCCTGCAGATAGATATTTGATCCCATCTTGTTGGGAATATTTGTACTGATTTTCAGGTATCGAACCCTTTGGCATTAACTGTTTATATTGAGCACAGAGTTTGTGTTTTAATATAATATAATACGAGTATCTCAAAAACGAGTTGTGAGCTATACAGAGGAACGTGGTCTGGTCTAATCGAATAAATTTTGGGTTCGTCAGTCCGTTTTTCCAATCGACTATTGGTTATTCGGTCGCAACACTTAATAGGATCGAAATTACAAAGTTTAACATTACTTGAAGAGAACTGAATGGTATTATTAAAATCTGTTTATGTGCTTAATTTTACCACCTTTAAAGCATTTAGCATTACAAAATTATAGTGTTTCGAATTATTTGAACTATAGTACGAACAGGGTGGATCTGGTGCAGATGTAAAGGCGCTGATGGGCAAAGCAAGAGCAGCATATTTACGACTGAGGAACATCTGGAACTCAAAGCAACTGTCAGCCAACACCAAGGTCAGAATGTTCAATACAAATGTCAAGACAGTTCTACTTTAATAACAATAATAATAATTTATTCTCAAATAACAGTTTGTTACATGAGGCACGCCAGTTTACAGGCAAGGTCAAATTGATACAAATGATACAATATCCACTGTAGTAAATTACATAGCTGGGTTGATAAATTATAAGATATGAATGTAGATTGTTTTTAATCAGTACTACAGTTGGCGCGCTTCACGAAAGTTGCGTTGCGAATGTGCAACTGATGGCCAAGGATAGGAAGGAAGGGAGGAAACTTGGAGAACCACGAAAGCCATCTTCTAGAAGATACAGGTGTTTATTAACAGTTGTCTACGCAAAATACTTCGGATCCGTTGGCCGGACGCTATTAGCAACAACCAACTGTGGGAGAGAACAAACCAGATCCCAGCAGATGAATAAATCAGAAAGAAGCGCTGGAAGTGGATCGGACACACATTGAGGAAAGCACCCAACTGCGTCACAAGGAAAAGAGGAAGATCAAAGAACACATTACGTCGAGAAATGGAGACATATGAGAAGAATGAACAAGAATTGGATGGAACTAGAAAAGAAGGCCCAGGACAGAGTGGGTTGGAGAATGCTGGTCGGCGGCCTATGCTCCATTAGGAGTAACAGGCGTAAGTAAGTAAGTAAGAACGAACTAAAAATCCCCGAAATAACGCAACTGAATCAAGAAGTACGATAAAAGCACGAACGAATGTATTGTATTTAAAATTCGAAATCGAGCACTCAATGATTACAAAAAAATCATTGGTTCGTTCAAGCACCACAAAAATACACATGAATTATATGAGTATAATAAATATAAATGTGGTTGCATATAAATTGTGACAATTTAGTGAAAAGGTTTTGTTTTTGTTGTCACAAAAATCATTGAATATACATGATGAAGAACACGCTTAGGCTAGTGATAGAACAATATATTTGATATGAATAAAAAGCATATGTTACCATTCAATAATAATCACGTTTGCAAGGCAGAGCCATGACGTTCGATGGATTCGGACTAATTCAATTCATTGTTCTTGCCTTCTCCACCGTTGTGTTTTTCTTCGTGTTAAATGTTAATTATCTATTTTCCGAGTTGTCTTCTGTTCAGCTTTGAGGATTGTGTGGTTAGGGCCCACCGACACTACAAAACCGCGACATTCAGCACACATACACGTCCTATTTTTATCAAATTATTTCTACTTTTACGGGTTTCGTGCGTGGTTGTCTGTCAATTATTATTTTATCTAATGCCTGTCTCTTTGACGCACTACAATTTGTCTATCTTTTACTGTTTCCTTTTGGTAACGAGGGTGTGTATCATACGTATCTTAAGTTCATTCTTGTAGTTGACTTATTTTATTACTCTACTCTCTAATGCGAAACACTTCGTTGATTATGTACGAGCGTAGTCGCCATATGCATCTCGTTAACACCATCACACCGTAAAATCGGACTCAGATCAACTAACCGCAATAATTATCGTTGATATTGAGGGGGTCGGTAAACTATTTGATTCCCAGTGACAGGCTTGATAAATGACGTTGATAGAGCCGTGACGCTTTACTTCCTCTACAGACACGTTGATTCTTACCACATGATGCTTAGACCAGCGTTACGTGCTATTAATATTCAAGAGTCGCACCTTCTATCTATGAGGTCAACACGGAGATATCAATCGATCCTAACAATACAGACTTATCGGTAATGTTTTAAGGCCACTTTTAAGTACCTAGAATCACACAAAAATAACAATAAGTGAGTGCAAAAAGATCAATCAGTTTATACAAACTCGTGACCAAGACATTGGGTATTGTATTTAGGCGCTATGTTTATAAATTGCGGTACTTGAGCTTGACGACAGAAATACTTTATGGCTGCTTCTTCTGTGAGTCCCAACCCGTGGTGGAGTTTCTTTGTTTGGTTCATTGCTGTGAACTGTTGGCCACTACTGTAAATTTCAGTTCACAAGGCTTGCTCATATTGTACATAAGACGCATCTACTGTACGATGTACTGCGCTTGGGTCAATAATGTAGGGACTTATCATTATTGTGCTTTATCTATCGTTTAGAATTCTGTTCATGTGGTCAACCTGAAACACCGTCAATAAATTTAAAAGTATCCCATCACATTGATACGATATGTGACCTGTCACATAGTACTGTCAATGGATTTCTTTGTAGTGGTTGCTATTATAGTTAGTTAATAAAAGGTTGTCTATTATTTAGCCAAGAAGGTCACTGGGCCTCGAGCGTAAGCATTCCGGTCTTATTTCGCAAAACGGGAATCTATGTTTGGAGATAGAGAATTTAGGGAGAAACGTCGGACATTCCAGAATTATATATGTACGACAATAGTGGTAACTTTGATTTTTCCCCCAATAACTTTGATATTCACTCTTTACATACAAAAATGGTTTTACTTACCACTCGTCATTGTATAGAACTCGGAATATAATACCTTGTCAATTCTTCACTAATAGTCACCTAACCTGACTGAATTCTAAATTGTAATTCATAATTGTAGAAAACTGAAATAGGTTTTTATTGTCTCTATATGGGTTTCTACAAACTACCACTTGGATCCTGTTAAGTGGGTTATCCTATCATCAACCGAGATGTTAGGCAAAATTAGTTTACAATCTCATAGTGCCATATACAAATGTAGATTTCCAAGTTAGGTATCTCCGTCCCAGAACCAATAATTGGTTATCTTAATCCATGAAGCGGTGGCAATTTTAGCTTTTGCACGGTTATTAGTAAGATGAATTATGATAGCATACATATTACGTCTGTTGTGACGACTGTTATCACTACTTAATTGTCCTAATTGTGGTAGACTGAGCTAATTTCATTGGATTTATAACTACATTTACGTCTATTGCACTTCTGAACAATTTTGCAGCAACTTGATGCAGAATGCGTTGACATTCGTTAGATGTTAATTAACAGCCTCAATCAGTGTTATAAGACATCACACTTATTTTCCAATGCTTTCCATCATCCTCAAAAGCGTTTGCACACCATGGGATTTCGCATATAGTTTAACGAACAGTCGTTTAGAGATAACATCAGTTGAATATCTTTAGCTGCAGTATATTGGAAAAGCTGATTTTACTGATAAACACCAACTTTTCTCACAATGTGCCATTGGTCACTTTTTCAGAGAGCATCATTTTGTTAGTGTTGTTGCATTCTGAGTAGCTTTCTCAGTTATATTTACTGTGAGTAAGAATCTCAAGGAGAATACTTTATTTAGGATTCTTAATAAATTATTCATTCGTGTGCTGTGTAAAAGGTTATGCGCTACTTATAGCCAACGTTTTATAATTAGTTATGTGGTTTGCGATTTTAGTCAGGTACTTGACTGTATCATCACCCTTCTCAACTATCTAGTTTGTTACACTTCTTGTCATAAGAACTGTTAGGTAAACAAGTCAAGTAACCCTGCAAAATGACACGCTAAATTATGTAGAATTATTGATATTTTTTCTGGGGATTCAGCATACTATCAATGTACTGAATTTAGTTTTTCCATGATTTGCTTCCATTGTTAATTTTAGATAAGTTGCTCAGATAAATCGACAGTTTAGTTTGATATAATGGAGGGTATTTTATTAAAATGGACAAATTATGTTAGTGGTTGGCAACAACGATATTTCATTTTGGACGATGGAGTTCTGTCATACTATCGATCCAAAGAAGAAATGAATAGTGGATGTAAAGGATCGGTCAAATTATCTGTATGTGATGTTATAGGTGAGTTTCATGTAAATACTGCTAGTTTATTGCGTACAAATGATACAGTTCATAGTTCCGATCCACGAAGATTTGATTTGATCCTTGGTGAACAAAGATATTATTTGCGTGCTTTATCGCGGGCAGATCGACAAAGATGGGTTATAGCACTTGGTAGTTCAAAAGTGGGCACTGCACAATTAAAGTCAGAAGACGTAAATATATATGGTAAGTTCAAATATATATTTGATTTCCTCTCATTGACTAACTCCAAACTTTGTATGTATACTTATATTTTCATTTTCGGATTTTTTATTTTAATCATAACACGTGATCGGTAATCAATTATTCTGCTTCATCCCTGTATTTCTTGGAGTAGCTCTTGATAATACCCACTTTTTCAAATAAAATAAGATGAAATGGTGGGATTTAAATTTAGGACTGAACTGTTTGAAGTTGAGTGTTTTGATCAGTAAGCCATGGATCCTTAAACTATGTGAGGATTACTTTTAATTCCTCCTACGTAATACATTTATTCATTTATTTTAACACATAGATATTGGTACAAAGAGACACCAAATACATATGCGCCACACAAATCTCATTCGATATGTGTGAGGGCTGTGATACTGCCTGGGTGCCCAAACCGAAGCAGGTGGTTTTCTTAGGGGGCCACACCCCGAGTTTTTTACTTATAGGTCTGACCCACAAGGCAGTGGAGCATCGTAAGGAGATGCAGTCCCATGAAAGACGGTGACCAACGATTGGTTCATATTCCATTTGTTCCTCCAGGATACTGGAGCCCATGTGCACCATTGGTTTGAGATCCTGTTAAAGCTCCGGACATTCGCTTTTCGTCCTCTCAATTTCGTAAACGACACCCCGCCACGAGAAGGCAGTGAGTATGACTTCCCTGGCAGAGGCTATATACGCGTGGCCATGTGAGAGCATTTGGAGAGGGAGAGCGGACTCTCCCCACTCTCGGCCATACCAGGGCATTTGGGGGCTACGTAATACATATCACATAGAGTAGCAATGGAATATATACTCCAATTCATTAGTTTATCTATAATATGAATAATGCGGTGCTGAAATATGTTTACAACCTAAGTTGGTCAGAGCAGAAATAAATTGTTTTTTAGACATTCGACTTTCAGCCGTTCAGATAATCGTTTTCAATATATCTACACTTTTCAATATGGAGTTGTGGAAATTGTTGTGTTTGACTAAAATCATGAGTCGATCTACATTCAATAATATTTTATTAACCATATAGTCTTATTACTCACTATATGATAAACGTGGCTTAATCAGCTCGCAAGACACGGGTTCTCTTATTCAATTTAATCAGTGGAATAATAAAGTAAATCGAAATTAAGCCTACTGACTGCCGAATTATTTAATACGAAAAATTGCTTATTCATTGTTAGAACCTTCACAGACCCAATTAATCGATAATCATCGTTCTGAATTGCGTCTTTATCATAATTTGATGGTACAACAAGTTAAAGAGATTCAAAGTGAACTAAAAGAAGGTACGATCCCAGATATGAATGTAAGTTTTTGGTCTTCTAATTTCTGTTGATTTAAGTTTTTATCGTTGGTTTTCGTTCTACTAATTTTTTTAAAAACTGTAGTCACTATTCTCAGTATTGAGTTCAATCTAAGTATTTCCATACATCAGTAGGGGTATTGGTCACAGTAGTGTACTGGATTTTCACAAACACGTGTGATACAACATTTGATAAACATCTTGTAAATGAATCTAATAAAAGCAGAAATCGCAGTTTCTTAAGTGAATTTGAGCGATGTATATTGGTGGGTCGAGCTGGCTGTCATCCACTGTGATCATGACATCTTTCTCACTAGCTAATTTCAACACCGGTGACCTTGAGTATATTCCCTAATCATTTCAATCATATATATGTGCAGCGTACTAAGCGACCTTTTTTTGTCTTGTCTACTCTGTTGGCCGGGTTTATTAGTTTGGCAATTAACATATTTGGATCATTTACAGGTGTAAATTTGTTATCGGGTAATTTGTATCAAGATAAATGGTGAGTTAGTCGGCTAATTGTGCTTTATGGGTTTTTAAAACAAAGAAGTTGACGGAGATCATCGATCATGAGTTTCACTGGATATGGTTTGTAGTCAGTTTTCATACTTCTTAAAACAGAAGTAATGTTTCTTTTCTCTAATCAGTCCGTAGTAGGGCGTGGGTTCGAATCCCACCTCCGCCACCAATTTGTAGCACGTACTATTAGCGTTGATCTGCGAGCAGGAGCGATCTGAAACACAACACAACAGTCAGAACCGACAGATGCTACTCAAGTGAGAACACGGCGTACGAGCACAACATAGATATATTTCAAAGTTGAATTACGCGGTTTAAGTACAAAAACGGGAAGTCTATTACAAAATGGTTTTACTCATTATCCCGCAGGTTTAACTTGCGCAAGGCTTGTTCTTCCTCTTCTAGTACGTTCACTTTCTGTTGCCCTGAAACAAGGAAAACAAACTTGCACTAATAAAGTCACACGTAATGGTTTTTGATACTGATACATTACCCCCTCTCTCCATGAGGCACTGTCCTCAGTGCCTGGTGCTGGACATGAGTATGCTACCCCTCCCTCTGGTGGCACTTCATAATGGCTGACGGCAGTCGGCGGGTTGACGGTCGGGGTATCTAAGTGCACCGTTGTTCTATCGGGCTTCAATTGATTGTAGTGTGTTGTAATAACATCGTCTTGGGGTCGTTGGAGGTTACGTAAGACGAATGTAGTGGAGGACCGCGTAAACACCACTTCATAAGGTCCTTGCCAAGGGTGATGGAACTTGCTACATGTCCCCGGTGGAGCCAAAGGGTGGTGCAGCCACACACGATCTCCGGGTTTATACACAGGTCCGTTCGCCTTGCGATCGTACACATCCTTTTGGTGCCTGCTGGCATTTTGTAAGTTGATTTTCACTAAGCTATAGGCGTCGGCTAGGCGGTTGCGAAGGTTACGGATGTATACTACATGATCTTGGGCCTCGCATGGTAACAACGGTATTTGCAGCTCAACGGGTAGGCGCAATTCATGTCCAAAAAGTAGGGTCGCGGGTGAAAATCCCGTAGATCCGTGCACTGATGCGCGGTAGGCTAACAGACATTGTGGTATCACATCATCCCAACATTCCGTCGACGACTTATTGATAAACGACTGTAAGAAAGTTTTGATAGTCCTGTTGGTTCTTTCCACCAAGCCGTTACCTTCTGGATGATATGCGGTAGTGTATGTTTTTCGGATTCCCAATAATCGACATACCTGAGCGACGAGATGACTTTCAAAAGCTGAACCTTGGTCAGAATGGAGTGAAAGGGGAGCGCCGTACCGGGATACCCAATGATCAATGAAAGCACAAGTGACTGTGAGGGCATCTTGTTGTGGTATAGGAACAGCTTCACACCACTTGCTGACATAGTCTACCATAACTAGGATATAACGGTTTCCGTTCCTTGATGTTGTGAGTGGCCCCATAATATCGATGCCAACTCGCTGATGCGGACCTTCTGTCGTCATTAAAACTAAGGGTGCACGAGGTATTTGTCGGGGTGACTTGATAGCATAGCACGTGCTACAATTTTTGCAGAATTCGGCAACGTCTTCATGGATGGATGGCCACCAAAACCTCTGGCAGATAGCATGTTCAGTCTTCCGTTTTCCTGAGTGCCCCAGTTCTCGGTGTACCTGCTCCATAATATTCTGAACCTGTACACGTGGTACTATCAATAGTGGCTGTTTTGATTCGCTGACTATAAATAACGTGTCTTCATACAATCTTAGACTGCTCCACTTGGCACACAGACGGCGCGTCGCCAAGGAATGATCCTTCAACTCTGTCATAGATGGTTTATTATTGCCATGTAGTTGCCTCTGGTAAATAAATCGCAGATCAGGGTCTGCTGCTTGAAGCGACGGCCAGTTGATATCGGGGGCTGTGCTAAGAACGGCATTAATGGTATCAGGAGAATAGGGTATACGAGATAGGGAATCGGCGTTTGTGTGTCGGCTTCCGGGTCGGTATTCGCAAGTAAAATCAAATTCCTGCAACCTCTCCTGCCAGCGCGCTACCTGACCTTCTGGTTCACGGAATGAACGAAGCCACTGTAGTGCACGGTGGTCTGTGCGTACACGAAAGGGTCGTCCTAAGAGATAGTGACGAAAATGTTGCAAAAATTTTACCAAAGCCAGCATCTCTCGGCGCGTCGTAGAATACCGTGTCTCTCTTTTATCTAGCCGCCGACTAGCATACGCTATGACCCGTTCCTTTCCGTCTTGTGCTATTTGAGACAGGACTGCTCCAATAGCTGATGAGCTAGCATCTGTATCAAGTATGAACTCACCCGCTTTAGCCGAAGTGTCCGGAAAAGCCAGGTATGGGCGGAGCAGCAAGAACTGACTTCAAAGTGTTAAATGCGTGTTGGCATTCTGTGGTCCAAAAAAAGTTTCGTCCTTTATGCGTCAGGCGATGTAAAGGTGCTGCCAGGGATGCGAAATCGCGTACGAAACGTCTGTAATAAGAAGCGAGCCCCAGGAAGCTGCGAACATCCTGGGCAGATTTCGGTTGTGGCCAGTTAATAATGGCGCTCGTTTTTGCCTTATCCGTTGTTACTCCATCTTCCGTAATGTGATGCCCCAAAAAGAGTACTTCTTTTTGTAAGAGTCGACATTTAGATGGTTTTACTCTTAAGTTGTGCTGCTTAATACGTTGTAGAACTGCCCTTAAATTGGCATTATGCTGTTCCGGCGTGCTGCCATACACAATAATATCATCCAGGTAAATTAAGCACTTGTGTGGTACGAGACCATATAGAACTGTCTGCATCAATCGTTGGAAGGTGGCTGGGGCATTAGTTAACCCGAAGGGCATCACTTGAAATTCATATGGACCATTGGGTACTATGAACGCGGTTTTTTTCTATCTTGAGGTCGAACCTCCACTTGCCAATACCCTGATGCTAAGTCTAGAGTCAAGAACCAGCGAGCGCCTTTCATAGAATCTAATGTAGCATCAATTCGTGGAAGTGGAAAAGAATCGCGTTTGGTTATAGCATTAAGGCGTCTGTAGTCTACACACAGTCGTAGGGAGGAGTCTTTCTTTTTCACTAAAACAATAGGCGATGCCCATGGTGATGAAGATGGTACAATGATCTTTTTCTCTAGCATATTTTTTATCATTGATTCTAATTGAGGCTGGTAATGTACTGGTACTCGGCGAGGTGGTTGACGTAATGGCATGTGATCACCTGTGAGGATGGAGTGCTGTAAAGTGGTCGTCCGATTTCCAGAGATATTCTCAGAGAAAACGGAACTAAATTGTTGGAGTACATCAGTGGTTGCTCGACGGTCTTTTTCACTTATTATTTTATTATCCTGTACCTGACGTACAATCTCTGCAATTCCCACCTGGGCTACGGTTTCGGTTGGCATTTCCTGGCGTTGTAGTTGCACGACAAACCCGCCAATTTTAGCTTCCGACTTATTCATGTCTATAGAGACCTGATATCTTAACATGAAGTCAACCCCGAGTATCATGTTCCAGGTCAGTGTGGGGCAAACCAGGAATTCATGTCGAAAAGAGTTCTTGTTTATTGTTAGCTCTAACCCTATCTTAGAACACGCAGTTAAGGGGTCTCCGCTCGCCGTGATTAATGTAGAGGAGCACTGTTTACGCTGAGTGCTGTAGTTACGTCTCTGCAAGAAGTCTTCCTTAATAAGGGATACTGAAGCTCCTGTGTCTAGAAGTATGTCTAGCTCGATGTCTTGTACTCTACCTTTAAACGTAGTTGGATTGACATGATTAACATAGGACGATAAATAACCAAAACGCCGCTTACCTGTTTACGGGGGCGGTTGTGACCGCATCTTCTGGCGTTCCTGCCAAACCTTTTGCAATATATATATAGTCGGCTTGACGCCCACTGTAGTTTCCCCATGCTGGTTGTTTATTCCACCTCGAATTTGACTGTCCGCGCGTAGCACCTCGGCCGGGAAGGTCGGACACAGCCATCGCAGTCTGGCAGCTGTCCAGGCCACTAGATTTTGTAGCTCGTTCCACAGTCGTTACTGATGATGAATGTGCACTGGATAAATTCACTAGTTTGTCAGCTGCCAGGAAGCGTAATGTTGTTCTTTTTACGTCAGACGTATCGGTTGGTGGATTTCGAAGAAAGTGTTCTTTAAGTGGTCCGGGCAACAGGCCTTCGACAAAACGTGAGCGTATTAATTCTTATCGTCCCATTGTATCTAAACGAGGGAATGCTTGTACTGCGACTTGCTGCAGGGAATGAAGATAGTCTATTGGACTCTCGCTTGCTTTCTAATGGCGTGATTAAAACCACCATTTGATGGTGGAGGTGCCGACGGAAAAACGTGAGGAGAATCTAGACGAACCCCCTCTGATTCCAATCAGGGCTGCTCCCAGTTCAACCCCACGCCAACCACCACTGCCTGAAACGTCGTCAGATTATTCCGTTTGGAAAATTAAAGTCACAGCGTACCTTCAGAGAGT